GTCTAAATCGTTGGTATGATATGGGTCTGACTGGTCTAAATCGTTGTGATTATATGGGTCTGACTGGTCTACATGTAAGTAATTGTGATACAGGTCCGACTGGTCTAAGTTGGTGTGATACAAGTCTGACTGGTCTAAGTTGGTATGATATGGGTCTGACTGGTCTAAATCGTTGTGATTATATGGGTCTGACTGGTCTACATGTAAGTAATTGTGATACAGGTCCGACTGGTCTAAGTTGGTGTGATACAAGTCTGACTGGTCTAGGTCGGTATGATATGGGTCTGACTGGTCTAAGTCGGTGTGATATGGGTCTGACTGATCTAAGTCGGTGTGATATGGGTCTGACTGGTCTAAGTCGGTGTGATATGGGTCTGACTGGTCTAAGTCATTGTGATACAGGCCCGACTCTCTCTCTCTCTCTCTCTCTCGGTCATTACAGATTGGGGTGATGATTTCCCCCTACATAATACATGTAATTCACTAACCCTGATTATGGGCAGAGTATTGAAATGAATCTTTACATGTACATTTACAAACATGAACATTTGTGCTCTGATCTTCACCAGTACTTACTACCTCACATTCTGTTCCAAGGATGATAAATGTACAGGTACTGTCATGCAAGATTAGAAATATTCAGATTGAAATATTTCGATTTCCCCGTATAGTGTGCATAATCACTGAAATTTTTACTTCTGGAGAACTGGGGTCATTTTTGTAAATAAATATTTTTACACATGGAAGTAATGACACATACTTATTTTACAGACTTTATTCTCTCGACAGATCTCTTCTATCACCTCCAGTACATCCACTGCCAGTTCATGTCTCCATAAACCTAAGCCGGCAACATCTTCTGGGCACATAAGGAAACATGCATAATTCACAATTGAGTCAATATTTTCATAAGAAAACCATAAGAAATCAACAAGTCTCGTTGTCCAAACACCGAAGTAACAAACTCCTCCAACAAACACACACGAAAATCACAGATTATCTCGCAGCAATTCCAGTTGATCTGGTGATAAATCCCTCGTCTCTGTCAGATCAGGAACGGAATTATCTTCTACCTGGCGTTCACTTTCAACTGACCATGGCAACACAACACAATCACCACAGTTACACTCCAATCTACACACTGACTAGAACTTACACGAGCCAAAACTGGAGTTGGCATTCGGCGATTCTCGCACCCCTTCTAGGCAGGTGTCGATTTAGAAATGCACAGAAACAAGAAGTTGCCGAACAAAGGGATTTCACTTCTTTTTCTGACTGACCCGGCACCAAGTCATGTCCACTGTAGTACACAACTGAATATTATGGGCTACCATCTCGTCCAGCCCTACCCGATTCCTGGGTAAACTGCTCAATTCCTCTTGGTGCACCCCAGTGAACCACGATATCAACATCAGGAATGTTCACACCCATACCAAAAGCAATGGTTGCAAATACCACACTGAGATAGGAATGCGCCTTTGGAAATGTAT